GTTTCCCCAATTCTCCTCTCTCTTTGTCCCACCTATACTTCCTGCCTGGTCACTGGCCATCAGTGTTTTATTTATATAGAGTGGTATCCACAGCACCATACGGAGCCAGCCCTGTCCTTTGCTGGCCCTGAGACTCATGAGAGAGCTGTCCCCCAATGCCGAATTCCGGAGAGATGGTCCCACTCCTCACCACAGGAGAGAGAGAACTGACCCTGAAGGCATGGGCATAGGGGAGCGGGCGGCCCCAGTGGCAAGGACTGACCAGCTCAGCTCAGCTACCACCCACGCCACAGTTGGGCCTTGGGTTGGCCCACTCTAACATCTACCCCATCCAGGACCTGCTCATGAGGGACTGGTCCTGTGGAAAGATACTCTCAGTATCTGCAAGATTATGATATCAGAGAGGTGTTTCAGTGAGGATCCAGTGATGATGGTGTCGCAGAAACCAGAGGCCTTGCACCAGGCCAAGGACTCATTGCAGTGAACATTTGCAAGTAAAGCTGATTGGACAAAAGGGTGGACTGGGTGACACGTCACAGCTCCCGATGCCACCAGGACAAACGAAGTGTGGAGAGGTGGGAAAGATGGAGGATCAAAGAGGTGTTTTGTTTTGTTGGGTTTGTGTGCTTGGTTTGGTTTGATGTTTTTTTTTCTTTCGGGGGAGATACAGGGGTGAAGGGACTGGGAGGTGAGAGGAATTAGGGTGCATGATGTGGAATTACCAAAGAACCAATAAAATTATGTTAAGTTTAAAAAAAAAAAAAAAAGAGCCAGGCGGTGGTGGCACACGCCTTTAATCCCAGCACTTGGGAGGCAGAGGCAGGCGGATCTCTGTGAGTTCGAGGCCAGCCTGGGCTACCAAGTGAGTTCCAGGAAAGGCGCAAAGCTACACAGAGAGACCCTGTCTCGAAAAACCAAAAAATAAAAATAAAAAAAAATAAAGATTCCCTGTTCCCAGATATGTCTAGGTTTGTGTCAAGTTGACAAAAACCAACCAGGACACATCTGTATAATTATCACCCTAAAGAGCTAGTTACACACGACTCTGTAAGCCACAAAACCACATGTTTGTTACAGCCACTACAGTCAACCCTTGTAACCTTAGTAGGAAAGCAGCCACACGGAACAGAAAAACAAGGGGCATGGCTAGGTCCCAGGAAAACATACCACCAGGCTGTGCATACACCAGTGCCCTAGAAAGCGTGTAACATGCCAGTACACAAGAGTGCTCTGTGTATTATTACCTCCTGTGTCATAAGAGGCTGGATAGATCGCTCTTTACCCATTGGCTCTTAGACCCCATCCAGACTCGGGTGTTTCTTCATGCCTCTCCAGAACCCTCATAGACATGTAAGTGTGTGGGCCCAACTGGAGAACAAGGTGTTTGGTTGGTCTGGTTGTTTTTGAGACTAGGGGCAAGGTCTCTCTGTGTAGCTCCGGCTATCCTGGAACTCCCTATATAGACCATGCTGACCTTGAACTCACAGAGATCCACCTGCCTCTGCCTCCCGAGTGCTGGGATTAAAGGTGTTTGCTTCCATGCTTGACTAGAGAACGCGTGTTAAAAGCCTGAAGGGGCTGGGGAGATGGGCCGGTGGTTAAGAACACTTGTTTTTCTTGCAGAGGACCCAGGTTTAATTTCCAGCACCTACATGGTGGTTCATAACCATCTGTAGTTCCAGTCCCAGGGGATCCAGTGCCCTCTTCTGGCCCTGGCAGGTACTGCATGCATGTTGTACACAGACACATGCAAGCAAGCAAACAAACAAAAACACCAAACTTAAAATATGAGAGGAAGAAAAAAAAATTAAATATCTGTATCTGTGTTATTTAGAGGTATCTTACTATATTATAATTTTTTTCCTTTTTTATTTTTTAGACAGGGTCTTGTCGTGTAACCTTGGCTAACAAGGAGTCCCATATATAGACCAGGCTGGCCTTGAATTTATAGTAATCCTCTGGCCTCAGCCTCCCAAGAGATGAGGTTACAGGCATGTGCCATTCAGTACACACACACAAACATCCTTTTCAGAGACAGAATCTCATATAACCCAGGCTGGTCTTGACCCTACTGTGCAGCTAAGGATGACCTTGATCTCCTGATCCTCCTGCCCCTACCTATCTCGAGTGCTGGGATTAGCAGTGCTTGCCACAGTCTCCATCTAGTCATCTGGCTAGTGTCCAGGGTATGAGACCACCTGGTAGGATTCTCATTGTGATGCTGTGCTTTTGACCTCTACAGTTCCAATTAAGTGTTTGGTCTTGTGTCTTTTTGTTGTTTTTGAGACAGGGTTTCTCTCTGTTCTGGTGCCTGTCCTGGATCTCAATCTGTAGACCAGGCTGGCCTCGAACTCACAGAGATCCATCTGGCTCTCCCTCCTGAGTGCTGGGATTAAAGGCATGCGCCATCACTGCCCAGCGGTTTTGAGTCATTTTGTTTGCAGTGCTGAGGTGGAATATGAGGCCGCAGGTGTTACACAGTGCTCTGCCCCGCTCTCTTTTTTTTATACATATGGAATATGTCCAGTTGTGTACATGTTCTTTTTTAGCTCTCTGACTTGAAACCCTGGCCGCTGTGTGTTCTTTTCAATGAAGAGGGGCTACTAGAACGCTTTCTTCCCAGGCTGAGATCTGGAAACTGTTTAGGCAACACGAAGGGACATTCATAGAACTGACCTCACTGTTTCCTACTGAGCAGTCACTGTTTTTTCCTTGTCTGGCTTTTCGTGTCTGGAGAATCCTTGTTTCCCAAATGCAGTGGATGGAGATGGTATTTTGTGTGTCTTACATGGGAATATACATCATCTGGACTGGAAGAAGAAATACGTGTTTGTGGGATTTATGCTTACTTTTGTTTGCTGTGTTGGTTGTTTTCAGAAATGGTCTGGCTGTGTAGCTCAGGCTAACCTTGAACTTGAGGCTTTCCTGCCTTGCCTCAGTGCTGTGAATATAGGTGTGCGCCACCTTGTCTGGCTATGATCCTTTTTTCATTTGCTCAGTTGGCATTTATTAGAAAGCAGTTTGCCACATGCCCATTTTACACTGGTCTTAAGGTTCTGCAAACATCCAAAGCTTTCCTATCAGGGCTTTATATACACCCTTTTCTCTCTCTAGAATGTTCTTCATAGCCATATATCCCTTTTGCATGTGGAAAGAGGCCTTCTTAGCCAGGAAGTGGTGGCACATGCCTTTAATCCCAGCACTCTGGAGGTGGAGGCAGGTGGATCTCTGCATTCAAGGCCAGCCTGGTCTACAGAGTGAGTTCCAGGACAGCCAGAGCTACACAGAGAAACTCTGTCTGGGTGGGGGTGAGGGGTGGGGGGAGAGGCTTTCTTAGACAGTTCTATAGTACTGAATTTCTATTATTTTCTAACACGTTTCTGCTTTCTTTGACCCTTACAGCTACTGTTTTGTTTTGCTTTGTCTTTTTCAGCCCAGGCTGGCCTCAGACTTGGAAACTGCCTCAGTCTCCCAACTACCAGAAATCAGATATGAACCACACTCAGCTGCTTCTCTTAGACTATAGGAAGGAAGTTTTGTCTGATTCCCTGGAGCCATTTCAGCGCCAGGTGTGGTGGACAGGTATGTTTGTTATTTATTTATTTTTTTTATTTCTATGTGTAATTATTTTTGAGGTAAGTCTCATGCAGCCCAGGCCTTGAACCTACCCTGTCACCCTTGAACTCCTCATCCTCATCCTCCACCTCCTGAATGCGGGGTCACAGGTGTGTGCCATCATGCCCAGCTGCTGAGTATTCAGTTTATTAATACGGAAGAAGATGAATGAAGGAGCGCACGAAAGAGTGAGTCTTTGAGAGCTTCCCAGGGCTTGTCGCGTAGCGGTACAGTGAGACCGGGGATGCTTGGCTCACAGGAGCACGTCTCCGAACTCTGACTCCATCTGCCTCTCCCTCAGCCGTGCCTTCTCGAGTGATAACTGCTGGCCCTGCCTACTGGCCAGAGGAGGGCTGACAGGTGAGGCTGACAAGTTCCAGGCCCAAGAACCAGATGCTGGGCAGAAGCCAGAGCTCAGCTTCCATGATGTCACTGCCTTCAAGGGACACATCCCTCCCATTCCTTCAGAGTGCTGCCTGCCACTCTGGAAAGAGTCTCAGGCAGCATGGCGGTACACGCCTCTAATCCCAGCACTGGAGAGACAGAGCAGGGGAATCACTGAAAATTTGATGCCTGCTCGTTCTGCGTGGTGAGCTCAAGCCAAGCAGGGCTTCTGTAGGATAGCGAGGCCATCACAAGAGCAAACGAATGAAAGATACGGCCTCTCTCCTGGTTCTAGGTCCAAACCCATTTGTGACCATTGACACCTGTTAGCGTACACCAGGCCCCGGGTTCAGTCTTCAGGACCAAGAAACAAAGCAACCATTGGAATATAAACAGAACAAGAAAGAAGTTGTTTGATAAAGTGAGCAGTCTTACTTAAAACATTTTTTACAATTCTCTGAGTTGGAGAGGACTCGGGAAACTTGTCTCAAACCCCCTTTAACAGAGGAGGAAACAGACTTCAATGAGATGATACATGGAGGTTGTTTAGCATCGTGTTTGAGACTTTGCGTTTACTTTATCTTCTGACCATCTTCAGCAAACCACCTAAGATTGACTTCCCTACAATATCCACCCCCAACAGTTGTCCAGATCAGTAGTAGAGGGTTTGTCTGGCATGGGCTAATGCCCTGGGTTCAATCCTCAACATCACAAAACATCCCAAGAGTTATAGCTACCAATTTTTATTTATTTATGATTTTGTGTGTGTGTGTGTGTGTGTGCAACCACGCGCACACATGTGTACATGCATGCCATACCATACATGTGGAGGTCTGCCATACCATACATGTGGAGGTCTGCCATACCATACATGCGGAGGTCTGCTGTACTCTACATGTGGAGGTTGGGACGACTTTCAGGACCTCTCACCTTCTACTGCGGGGTTTCAGGGTCTCCGTGGTTTCTGCTCCTGCACCCTGTACTTCAGGCTACTTGGCCCATGAGCTTTCAGGCAATTCTCCGGTCTCTTCCTCCCATCTCACCATAGGAATTCTGGGATTACACCACATCAGTGGGTTCTGAGGATGAACTCAAGGTGCCCCTCCTTGCTGAGCCAACTCCTCGGCACCCCGATTTGTTTTGTGATGTGTAGTTTCACTGTGTTGCCTAGGTTGGGCTATACAACAGGCATGCACCACTGCACCTAATCTTACTGTTTTGTGTGTACACCAGTAAGGTGCCAGGCTTTGAGCTAGTCAGTTTGTACGTATCATTTGACTCCTGTGTCCTGGGGTAGAATAGGCACCAGCCCTATGTTACTGATGAGGAGCCTGAAGCTTGGAAGCATGTGGCCTCCCCAACATCTTATAATTCGTGAGCAGCATTCAGACTCTGCTGAACGTTCAGGTTCTGGCTTCTCTCTTAACCGTCCAAATAGCTTCCTTTTCCTGTCAGCTTGTCCCTGGGCTCTAGAGGCGGGGATGTCCCAAGAGTTCATTTGGTCAGTCACCCTAACAAGGCCAAACAGGGTCAAGACTTCCAGTTGGGAGTCTTCGCCGAGGCTCGACCCGAGTGTCTTTACAGTTGGCAGTGAAGATGTTTCTGAGGGTCAAAGACAATCTCACGTGAAAACCACAGACAGTGGTGTGCCATTCCTGCAGCAAGTGTCCCGCTAGTGGGGTCTCCAGGAGCCCCTGGTTCTGCATCTCCATAGGATGGGGGAGCTGCCCACAGAGGCAGAAACGTGGATGTCCCCTCTCTCTTAGGCCTACAGAAGGGGACTGGCCTCTCTCGAAAAGAGTGGGACTTGAACCAAGCTAGCTTGAAAGAAGCCTAGGGATGGAGTGGGCAGGTATACTTCTAGGAGAGAAGCTAGAGGCCCTGGCCAAGGCACCCAGCATTGCCCAGACTCCTCGGAAAATCTCGGAGCCCTCCAAGTGAAAGGCTGGGTTGCTTTGCTTTGTTCTGAGATTTATTTGTGGTGTGTGTGTGTGTGTGTGTGTGTGTGTGTGTGTGTGTGTGTGTGTGCAGGAGTGAGGTGCTCTCGAAGGCCAGAAGAGGGTGTCAGGTCCCCTGGAGCTGGAGTTACAGGTGCTTGTGAGCTGCCTGGCGTGGGTACGGACGCCAAACTCAAATCCTCTGAAAGAGCAGCAAGTGCTCTTAAGTGCTAATCCACCTCCAGACCCCAAGTGAGGGGTTGTTATCGTCCCTGGCAGTGAGGAAATTGGGCGCAGGAGGGCAGGCTAAATGCTGGATGATGAGGTGGATTGTTCTGAGTCAGGCTTTGAGAAACCTGGAAGTTTCTAAAGCTTCAAGAATTCAGGGTCATGTGGGGGGCAGGTCTTCACAAGGAAGAGAGGGGTAGCCAGAGATATTGGAGACTCCCAGTGGGCTCTGAGGGCAGGCTGGCATCTGAGGATGTGGCTGGACTGGCAGGAGACTGAGGTCTGCACAGGATCTCAGAGGTGTGGCTCCGTTGGTAGAGTGCTTGTTTACCTCGAATGCCTGAAGCACCGAGTTCAGCCCCCCAGTGCCGTATAAACCGGGCATCTAGACATAAGCCTGTAATCATAGCACTGGGGAGGTGGAGACAGAAGAATTGAAAGTTCAAGGTCATCCTTCACTACAGTTTGAGGCCAACCTAGGCTATGTGAGACCTTGTCAAAAACAAAATTTATATAATCCATCCATGTGGCAGAGGCCCAAAGAGGGGAAGACCTTTGACCAAGGATGTAAAGGGTTAATAGAGCCCGACTAGAAAGACCTCAACAAGTTTAAGGACCTATTAGAGTTCACTCCTATGCAGCCCCCCAACATAGGCATTGAGACTGGCTGAATCTCCTATAGCAGACCCCAGGGACTGAGGTCCCAATCAGACCCACCTAAGCTTATTTCTCACTTTGAGACCCCCAAGGGCCATTCTCAGGGCCCACAGCCTGCTCCTCTGTACTCCCAGGCCATTGATTGGACCTCTGTGGTCACTTTCAGCTCCAAGTGACCGGAAGAAAGCCAAGCCAGGGCTTTCAAGCCTCCTGCCGCACCTGCAATCCAGTCTGACACAGGGAGGCGGCCAACTCCACTGCGGCTCACACAGCTGTGAAGTGAGCGCCTGGTTCTTCTAGGCAACCTGATCTGTGCAAGGCCCTTGATGTCTCCTTTTGAACCCTGGAAAGGTATCAGTCATGCAAGGACCCCAGGTGGATCGGCAATGCAGAGCTGGGGTTGGGGAGGGCCTGCCTGGGGAAAACATACCAAGAGCAAAAGAGGAAAAAGAAGGAATCCAGGTGGTCTGGGGCAGAGGTGCAGGTGAGAGAAAAGGTTGATCTGGTGGGCCCACTGCGAGGTAGAAAGAGAAAGGTGGGGGTGGGGGTGGATTTTGAATGGCCTGGCCTGTGCCAAGAGTTACCGTGTCCCATGTGTCCCAAGCAAAAGAGACCTGGCAGGGTGGGGCAGGAAAACATCAGCCCTGGTGTTCACCAGCTGTGCTGCCCTTGGCAGGTCTCTTGGATGCTCTGAGCCTTGAGTTACAGAATCAAACAGCAGCGTGGTTCATCCTTCACATTGGGCTGTCTGTGAGGTCAGTCAGTGGTCAGTCCTCCTGCAGACACTCCCACTTCCCCTGCTGGGCACTCTGGGTGTGTTCCTTCACCCAAGTATACATCCCTCCTGCATCCAAAATCTTACCCCTTCCCACCCCACTCCACCTGGACTCCAGCTAGGGACACACTAGCATTCTGGGAGTACCTCCCTCCTGGATTGGAGCCAGCCCTGAGAACAAATGGAGGGCGGGGGTGGGGTGGGCGGCTGGGGCGGGGGGGGGGCGGGGGGGGGGTGAGCTGGGATCTTTCCATGACACCCTGTGGAGGAGAGAAATTCACGTCTGCACCTCCTCACGCTTGGTCTTCCCCACCCCACCCTCTGAGCGGTTATTACCCCACCCCCACCCCCTTTTCCTAAACTCTGGCCTGGCCTGCCTTCTTCACAAGGAGCGAATGTTATTTAAAAGATCTGGAGATTTGCCTTAAATAGGCATGGTGTGTTGTGCCAGGGCCAGGGTGAGGGGTGCGGGGAGGCTGTTCCGGTGGAGGAGAGAGAGGAGCTGGTCACAGCAGAGGATAGCAGCGTCCCCAGGGGTGTTACGGTTGACTAGGCCCAGCCCCGCTGTCCCAGCCGACGCCATGGTCTTTATGCCCCAGGAATGGAAACAAGTGTTGAGGGCAGATGGCTGTGTGCCTCCTAGACACCAGTTCCTAGAACTTCAGTCCTGCCCCACGGGCTGCCCCTGTCTGACCTCCCAGCCCTAGTTGGTAACTGGATACTGGTCTCACTAGACATCTCCCCAGGTGAGCTGGGTCTCTACTTACTGAACTTGAGGGCCACCCCAGGGGTGTGGCAGGCGTCTGCTTGGATGTTGAGAGGCTGATGAAGAGCTGGAACCAAGGGGATGTAGAGCAAAAGGTGGGCTGGCCTGTACAGACACACAAGCACATGGAGCAGACTCATTCACCCGGCTGCCCTACTGCTCCCCTCTGGACCTGCTGAGACTCCTGGGATGCACTAATGGGAGTCTTTTTTTTTCTTTATTATTATTATTATTATTAAGAAATTTTCTATTCATCTTATATACCAACCACAGATCCCGCCCCCCCCCCCATGGGAGTCTTGACTGGGCGTGGTGGCACAGACCTTTGATCCTGGTACTCAGGAGGCAGAGGCAGGTGGATTTCTGTGGGCTCAAGGCCAGCCTGCTCTACAGAGGGAGTTCTAGGCCAACCAGGGAAACACAGTGAGACCCTATACAAAATAAATAAAAAACAGAAAAGAAAAAAATGGGGGGCTCTGCTGGGCATGATGTCCCAGCAAAACACTCAGGAGAGAGAAAGAAAAATAAAAAAAATAACATCTTACCTGTGGAATTTAAGGGACAAAAGCTAGGGGACAAGAAAATATTCTGGGGCGGGGGTCAAGATCATGATGGGGAAACCCACAGAGACAATTGACCTGAGCTAGTGGGAGCTCATGGACTCTGGACTGACAGCTAGGGAACCTGCATGGGACCAAACTAGGCCCTCTAAATGTGGGTGACTGTTGTGTGGCTTGATATGTTTGTGGGGTCCCTGGCAGTGGGACCAGGATTTATCTCTGGTGCATGAACTGGCTTTTTGGAGCCCATACCCTATAGAGGGACACCTTGCTCAGCCTTGATGCAGTGGGGAGGGGCTTGGTCCTGCCTCCCTTGATGTGCCAGACTTTGTTGACTCCCCAAGGGAGGCCTCAGCCTCTCTGAGGAGTGGATGGGGGTGTGGTGACGGGGAGAGCGGGAGAAGGAGAGGGAGGGGGACTGTGGTTGGTATGACAAATGAAAAAAATAAATAAATTAAAAGAAGAAAGAAAATATTCTGAGTCCAGAATGCCTTTAATCCCAGCAGGCAGGCAGATCTCTGAGTTCAAGGCCAGCCTGGTCTACTCTACAGAGCTAGTTCCAGGACCACCAGGGCTGCACAGAGAAACTCTGTCTTGGAAAAAAGAGAGAGAGAGAGAATATTCTGTATTAGGTCCTTTTCGTGGGTGCCCATCTACTTACAGCTGTATCACCTTGGCCCTCAAATCTGTAAACTAGGTCAGAGTCTCTACTCTGTCGTGTTCTGGTGAGAAGGTGGCCAGAGGAAAGAGGGACTTTGATAGGGGAGGATCTCCCGTTGATTGGGTCAATCTGAGAGACAAGACTTGCTTCTCCCCACCCCACAGTGGGTAGCCCAGCTCTGCTGGAGACAGTTGGAAGGGAAGGCTGTGGAAGCCATCTTTCCATTCCTTCAGACCGCTGTTAATTCTTTTTCTTATTCTCAGAGGCACCTAGGGAGTGAGTTTGAGGAAGAGAGCTTATATACAGGGGTGGGGAGTTACCCCTTCGGGTGATTGTAATAAGGACAATATGAGCCAATCTGGAGGGTTTCCCTCATGCTGGTCCCAACCTGGCTCTTTTTCAGCCTTTCTGAGATTTATTTTGTTTAACTGATAAGCTCATAGTCTTGGTTGGCCTTGAACAGAGACCTATCCGACTCTGCCTCCAGAACGCTGAAATTAAAGGCACGCACTATATGACCTGTGTCCCTGGGCCTATTCATTCTAATTCTGTTGACTGGCAGGTGACCCTGTTTCACTAATGATGAAGCCAAGGTTCAGGAGACTTAAGCAGAACCTCCGAGGTCTCACACACAGTCCGGAAGGAAAGAACCAGGATTTAAACATAGGAATCAGCCTTTGGGAAACCCTATAACTGGGGCTTGAGTTCCAGACCCAGCTAGCAAGCACGGCCTTGGCCAAATCACCTAGCTGCTCATCCATCAGGGATCTTTCTCCACCAGGGAAACCGTTGTCCCACCCTCCTCCCAGAAAAGAACAAGGGGCCTAAGGAACCCCAAACACGAGCTTAACGCCCAGTGGAGGCTTCTGAACAAAGGAAACTTCCAGCTCAACATTGACTCAACGCCCCCTCCCTTCCCGCTCCTGGGGTGAGGCTGTGCCCCACTCAGGCTGCAGACTTTGGGACAAAGGATTTGCAGGGTCTCCAGCGAGATGTTGGATGACTCCTTGGTGCCCCCTAGTGGTGTGAGTGCTTAGACTGGGAGGGCCTGGCAATATCCATTAGCCAGTATGAATGAGTAAGATATATATACCAAACAACAAAAAAGAAAAGGATACACCAGGGTCACACAAGGCATAGCATCCTCCATAGATGACCACCCCACCCAGGCAGAGGGTAGACGTGTACTCCCTTAGTCTGTGAAATGTTCAGAGTGTCCATTCATTATTTTTATTTTGCTTTTTCCGAGACAGAGTGTCTCTGTGCGGCTGTAGCTATCCGGGAACTCACTCTGTAGACCAGGCTGACCTCGAATTCACAGAGATCTGCCTGACTCTGCCTCCCGAGTGCTGGGATTTAAGGTATGCGCTGCCACCACTGGGCCAGTGTCCACTTTTTAAAATGTTGTGCTGAAATCTGTGAAAATACAAAAAATGCTTAGGCCAGGTCTCTTGAGACCGGGGGATCGGCCTTTGTCCTGAGACAGCTTATAAATTGTTAGTTACTCCAGATGCAGATCCCAGGGGCCATCGAGGCAAAGGAGCAAGCAGCCAGAAGTGGGGCTCCCTTCCTGCCAGGGTATTTTTGGGAAGCGGCAAGGACTGTGTCAAGCACATCCCCTGCCTGCCTCTTAGCAGGGATTGGCTCCCCTTGTGCTAAGCTCTCAGCCACCCTCTCGAGGACAGGTGCATGTCTTGCTTGAAAGTGGACTATCACTGGGCTAGGCACATAGCTCAGCTGGTAGAGTGTGTGTCCAGCATACAGGAGGCCCAGTGTTCCATCCCCAGACTGTATAAGCCCGGCATGGTGGTGCGCCCTGTCATCCCACCGCTCCAGAGGTGGGAGCCGAAGGATCAAAAACTCAAGGGCATCCTACATAGGGAGTTTGAAGCTAGCCTTGAACATATGAGGACAGCCTGGAATATAAGTGATCCTGTCTCTGTTAAAAAAAAAAAAAAGAAGTGGAAGCAGGTGGTGGTGGCACACACTTTTATTCCTAGTACTTGGGAGGCAGAAGCAGGTGGATCTCCGAGAGTTAAAGGCCAGCCTGGTCTACAGAGCTAGTTCCAGGACGGCCAGGGATACACAGAGAAACCCTGTCTCAAAAAACCAAGAGGGGGAAAAAGGTGCACTGTTGACCTCCATAGGGGGTAATACACCGTGAGCGTCTATCTTAATAATTTTCTCTCTCTCATCCACCCGACACTGTCCAGCTCTCCTATTGGAGAGTGAGACTGGGAAATCCCATTACTAGGATGGAAACCGAGGTACCAGAGATGTCCCCTAGCAGCAGCAGGATCATTTAGCAGGGTCCTTTAACTGTAGCCTTTTGCATTCCTCCATCCTTTTATTTATCTATTCCCCTGCTGTGGTCTGCCCCACTCCAGATTCTACAGCTGCGTTGTTCTGCAGAGAGGCAGGTGCTCCACCACTAGCCTGAGAGGCTTTCTCATGAAGGAAACAGTCCCATCGCTAAGGACAGCCCGTGCCTGTGCTCAGACTCAGGACCATTCTGCCAAGAAAGCCTAAATCCTGGGGCATGGCTGTTAATCTGGATGTTTCAGTCTAGAAACTAAGTCGGGGCCAGAAGGTTATCCAGGAACACAGGCGCCCTCTGCTGGGCCCCCATCTGCTCTGCTTCTAGTCTTGGCTCAAATGTCCCCTCCTCAGAGTCCCTTTGTGATTTCTGCTCTTAGAAGTCAACTTGACTACATAAGGAAGAGGCTGGGTACACCTGTGAGGGAGGGATTTTTTTTTCTTTTTTATTAATTAAACCATTTGTATTGGGAAGACCCACCTTTAAACAAGATCTTTTTTAGTGGGAAGTGTTGTTTTTCACTCTTTTGGGGGGCCCGCCACCCAGCTCCCAAATAAACCACACACACAGAGGTTTATTCTTATAAATGTCCAGTCTTAGCTTGGCTTGTTTCTTGCCAGCTTTCCTTAATTATCCTGTCTACCTTTTGCCGCTGGGCTTTTCGAGTTCTCTTACTTCTGTAAATCTTACCTTATTCTGTGGCTTGCTGTGCAGCTGCGTGGCTGGCCCCTGGATGCTTCCTCCTTCTCTGGCTACTTCTTTTCTCCTCCCAAATTTCTCCTTCTATATATTCTCTCTGCCTGCCAGCCTCACCTGTTTCTCTCTCCTGCCTCAATATGGGCCATTCAGCTCTTTATTAAATCATCAAATGTTTTAGACAGGCACAGTAACACAGCTTCACAGAGTTAAACAAATGCAACATAAATAAAAGTAACGCACCTTAAAATAATATTCCCCAACAGGGAAGATCCTTTAATCTGGGCCATACCTCCTGCCAACAGCCTATATAAAAGACATGGAAGAAGAAAGCTTCTCTCTTGGTCTGCCATCTCTGGCAAACCCATCCCTTCACTGGCATTATAATCTACTTCTGCAAGACTCTGGCATAGACTGAAAACCAGCTGAGACATCCAGCTTCATACAGTGAACAACTATCGGATTACTGGACCTGCCATTGGTAGACAGCCATTGTTGGATGAGCCTGTAAGCTATTCTAATAAATCCTTTACATATGTAGGTGTAGATACATTCATTCTATAAGTTCTGCTTCTCTAGAGAACCCTGACTAATATGCCATCCTGTAAGTGAACTCTGTTTTTTCTGATTGCGTAGCTTTGTCACAGTTTCTGGGATGGCTTTCCAGTTTTTAACGCTGTAATAGATCTCCTTCAGCACCCTGAGGTGGGCTGGGTCAGCTCTGTGTACTGGGGGATCTGCAGTGCAGAGCCCAGCACCTAACACGTTAGGGGTGACTGATCGATCTTCATGAAAAAAAAACAAAATCACAAGATGGACAGGTAGTTCCCTTTATCACCCACAGTAAGATGCACACTGAGAATCTGTTCGTTCTGTTCTGCTTTTCTTGTTCCCCTTCTTCCCCCCCATTCTAAACCATCCTCACACTGGCTGCTTTGTTTAAAATCCTGAAGCTGTGTAAGAAGTCCTGACTGAATTTGCTTTCTAGCTCTTGTTTCTTAAGATGGTGCTGTGGAGAAAGGCAGAAAGGAGGGGCCTTGAGATTGGGGAGAGAGCCCCCCGGGAGCACCCAGAAGGTGACAGGATTACCGGGGTGTGAGGCACCTAGATAGGCTGCCCTTCCTCCCTCTACCCCAGACGTCATTGTTGCTTGTGGATCCTGGTCACTGCAGGTGTCAGTAGCCACGACAAAGCCCTGGGTGATGTGGCTGAACCTGTCATGCTCAGTGTGGAGAGTCTTGACTCCTGACTGAGGTGTGAGATTTCACTCTACCCCGCAGGGACACACATTCCAGGATAGGTTAAATTAGATGCCCCCCACCCCCAAATAAAGAACTGCTAGGTTTATCGTGTTTCCCTCAGGGGCAGGGATATCTGCAGCCCCTCAGGGAACATGCCAGCCTTTGTTGTCCAGGCCTTCCAGGAGCATCTTCACAAGGAGATTGCTAAGGAGAGGATTTCTGGGCACCCCGATGGTCTCAGGGAAAGGCATCTTTAAGCAGATCTTCTCATGGTGTGACTTTTCCTGGGAAGTAAGGAAACATTTCTTCATGGGCTAGAGAGAATTCAGTGGTTATCTGAGTGTGTAGTGCTATTTCAGAGGCCCCCAGTTCCATTCCTAGCACCCCGGTCAAGCGGCTCACAACCACCTGTACCTCCAGCTTCAGGGGGACCAGCCACCTCCTGCCTAACTGGCATCCTGAAGCTGGAGTTACAGGTGGCTGTAGCTATAACCAGATACAAGTGCTGGAAACCGAACTGCTGTCCTCTGTAAGAGCATAATGGGTTATTAACCACCAAGCCGTCTCTCCAGCCCCTCTACCATGCGGTAGTTGTTGTTGATGGCCCTCTCCCTATCCGCCTGGAAAGCCAGAGTCTCAGGGAGAGCCCGAACTTTGTCCTACACTCACCTTGTTGGTCCATCACCTGTCACCACCTTCAGATACCTCGGGTTTTCAGATGACGGTTGCTATGGACAAAACCTCACAGGCCTCACACCAGGTTGCTGTGATCTAGGACCTCGTGGTGGCTGAACAAACATCTCTGTGTTTACCCCCTCAGTGAGGGAGAGAGACCAGGCAGGAGTCACAGTTACACAATTCACAAGTTTATTTGGCCTAAATAAACACAACCTGAGAACATTCATTTCAGTGCCCTAAACACTACCTCTCCCCTCAAAACAGCACATTTTGCAGCGTCTGTTCTCAGGCCGGGCTCAGAAGGGTGTTTACTCAGGGCTGTGTTAGGCTGAGCTCAGCTGTGAAGGTAAGTAAACCTCTGTCTTGGGTTTGTGTCTGGCCTGTATCCCCTCTAGGCTCCTGCCATGGCTTGGATGGTTTTCCTTATGGGTTTACGCGCTGGAAGCTTGGTCCCTAGTGCAGCAGCGTTAAGATGATGTAACTCTTGGGGCTGGAGAGATGGCTCAGTGGTTAAGAGCACTGACTGCTCTTCCAGAGGGCCCGGGTTCAATTCCCAGCACTCACATGGCAGCTCACAACTGTCTGTAACTCCAGTTCCGGGGTACCCGACACCCTCACACAGACATACATACCCTAATACACATAAAATAAAAATAAATAAATTATAAGATGATGTAACTCTTTAGGAGATGGATCGCTGATGGAAGGTGAGGAAGGCCCGGGGGTCCTGCCCTCAGGAGTGGATGGATGCTGTTCCAGTCTCCCGCTGCTTGTCTCGTTATGTGGTTATGCCTGCACATGGACCTGCTGTGTGGTGCCAACTGCCACGAAGCCCCAGCACAGCTAAGTACAGACTGGTTCCATGTTCTTAGTCTTCTAGAATTGTGAGTTAAATAAACCATTTTTTTTTTCCATCAAGTACCCAGCCTTGTGTATTTTGTTAAAATAACACAAAGAAAAATTAAAACAGACCCCCGGAGCTGGCAAGATTGTTCATGAGGTAAAAGTGCCTGCCGCCAAGCCCCACGACCTGAATTTAACCCCCAGGACCCACATGGGGAAAGAGAAAACCAACTCCCTCAAGTTGTCCTCTGATCTTCCCATGTACACAAAATAAATCAGTGCAATGGGCTAAGACGGGCCCTGCCTGTGGGGTGTGTTGCGGCCGCTGAAGTACCTGTCTCCACTGCCTCCCCAGTCTACGGCTCAGAACTCTGGCTGCTTGTCCAGCCCTGCAGAGAGCTTTGTCCTCTGGAACAATCACCATTTCCAACGTCTGACCCTGGAAGTAGTTTCCCCAGGGAAAGGGGTGAGGCTGAGACAAAGCTGGTAAATGGGGAACCATGTCCTTCCCCCCACCAGAAGGCTGGATGAGGGAAGAAACACAGGCCCTCCCCCAGTTACTCCCTAGGGCCTTGACCCACGAAGAAGCCGCAAGTTGGGTAGTCCACTGTCTTCTTTCAGCCGAGTCAGAGGTTTGGGTCCATGTTCTCCAGATCAGAGTCTGCTGCCTCATCATCCTGGGACTCCTAGGTCAGAACCAGAAAGCCAGTCACAAGTGTGTGCCCATCCCGTTCCCAGGGCCACAGCCTGAGGGCCAACACCTCTTTCTGTCTCCACCCCAAAGGAGTCAGTAGAAAGATCGGCTGCCGCAGGGGGTCTACCTACCAGGCCTTCCCTTGGCCCTTCTAAGCCTGCCCACACCCAGAAAGCCCATCTTCAGGTGACTCCTTACCAGACGGAGGCCCCTGCCCTGCCGCAGGGTGGTATAGAAATGTAGCACTCGGGAGTCACAGCGAACCACCGTGGGGTCAAAGTCCAGCACGCGGAGGCCCTGTAGGCTGCGGGCCCTGGACAGGGCCACATAGGCTTGACCGCTGGCAAACACGCGGCCCAGAGAGATCTCCACACAGTCCAGAGACATGCCCTGGGTGAGGGAGGGACAGCCAAAGCCAACTCAGCCTGAGGTCTCTTGCATTCAAATGACTTTTATCAGCCTATCCGGAGTCTCAAACAAGGGAGAGCTGAGAACCAGTTGGGTCTGAATATGAGGGGACAGGAATCCAGGGTAAGAGTTGAGGGACAGGGTAGGAGAAAGAGGTCTAGCCATGGTTTAAACGGGTACAGAGCTAAATCTGTACGGAGCTAAGCTCTGTCCCTCCACTAGCTGTAGGTTTTTTTTTTTAGAATCTTGGTTTTCTGCCTTGTGTAACACCAACTATTACTGGTTGTATCTGTACTTCATATGGTTGTTATAGGGATTAACCTATTCTGGTCATGGTCAGGTGTAGATGTAACCAATCGTCTTATTAAAATAAGAAA